ACAGGTTTCTGTTTCTTCTTAGGGGATTCTCTTCTTACTTGGCACAGCAAGAGACAATCCCTCACTGCTCGCTCTAGTATTGAGTTTGAATACCGCACTCTTGCTGACACTACTTAGAAACTTTTGTGTATTCGTTGGCTCCTTACTGATATGGATGTTTCTTTCTCTGCTGCTACCTCTCTTTATTGTGACAATCAGTGTGCCATTCAGATTACTCACGATGATGTCTTCCATGATCGCACCAAACATATTGAGATTGATTGTCATTTCATTCAACAACATGTTACACGTGACACTGTTCATCTTCTCTTTATTTCTTCTGTTGATCAACTTGCTGATATTTTCATCAAGGCTCATCCTGTTGGTCGTTTCAGTGATCTAGTTTTCAAACTCAAGTTAGTTAATGCTTATCCACCTTGAGTTTGAGGAGGGTTGTTAATGTATACTTATCTATATTATACTTATCTCTATCTTTATCTGTATCTCCTTGTATCTCTATCTCCTTCTATACTTATTTAGGTTTCTTTTCGGTATATAAATATAGGCTTCTCCTATTGTATTAATTATTCAATTTAATAATATATATACACAATTTTCCCTTTCTTTCAACCATTCCAGCATGAACAATGCTCCATTCCTCAATTTCCCTCCCTTCCCCTCGCCCAAACTTTCACCAAACTTTCACCAATAATGTTGCAAATAATTTTAAAAGAAGAGAGAAAAGTTTGAAAAAAAGTTGATTAATTGGTGTACAATAAATCAATAAACAAATTATTTATATAAAACGATCATGCATGTGACTGAAGGCCCATGCCTCTAACTCACTCCCTGTTTCGTGGGTTGTTGTTTATCCTGTTCCTCTAAGAGAGTCGTTATCTGATGTAACTTCTTCTGCAGTTTAATCAAATGAAATTGCTACTGTTCAAAAAAAAAAAAAAAAAAAAAACACTGCTTGCTTTCAAGAAATTGGAAAAGTGAACTTCAAATATTAAGAGGAGATTTCAAATTAGGATAAAATTTGAAAAATAATTAAACAATTATAAATTAATACAATAAATTTTTTCAATACTAATGATTAAAATTAATATTTTTCAAATTACAATTGATGGGTGATTTCTCCAAAATAAAAATAGAATGGTTGTGTTTATCCTCATTAAGCACTACTATGCATAGAATTCACTCTAATTTTGAGGTGTATATCATATTTTCCAGTTATAATATATGTAATTTTTAATTTTGATTGATTATGGTGTTAATTATGGTTTATTGTGATATTTATTATATGATTATAACCTATTGTGATTATTATTTTGATTATGATCCAAATGCTTAGTTATGACTCGTTATTTTTTTGACATTTTATATAATTTACGCCAGAATAAGACCTTTGAGTTTATAAGAAAAACAGAAGAACCAAACAATTCATAAGATTACTATTTTGAATTTATTGGTGCTTCAACCTTAATTTTAGTAGTATTTTTTTTTTATAAATAATAATGCCATGTGTCCTCATGAAAGTACTGTATTTGCTTAAACGTTGAAAATAAATTCTCAATAAACCTATGTCCCACGTTAAGTCACACCTGATATCATAACATAGTTTTTAACTTCCAATTAACTTAAAATTTGACAAGCAAAATCATATTACAATAAAAATACAACTCAAATGTTCTGGCATTAAATCAAGAAATAGCATGACTTAACAAATTTTATAAATAATATTTTTTATTTTTTAAACTAATGCGACATCTAAAATATTATTGTAATGGGTTCAGTTTAAAATATCATATCCAAATTTCACTATTGAATATTACATCAAGAAGTAAAAAAAAAAATCTACGAAATTATTAATTTGTAAATGTTATATAATCTATATTTTTCTCACATATACATCAAACTAAAAAATATAAAATATAAAATGACATAATTTTTTTATTTATTATTATTTTTTTTTCTGAGAAAGTGGTTGACAGAGGCAGACGTAAACAAAGTCCCATGCTATTCCAAAACTATCTAATAATTTTCTGTAAAGAAGTCTAATGGCCGACCCCGGGGCTAGGGACTGACTGCAAAACCCGGTCCAAGCGTGGCAGGGGGAGGACGAACACCCTTCCATTAATGACCATGGAATGGCCTTTGCCACCTGGGGAAGAAGGTGGTGGAATGGTGCCCTTGGGAAGGGCACTTAGGAGCAAACTATCCTCTAGAGAAGGCACCTTCTTGTTTTCCATGGTCAAGATCTTCCTTGCTTCTAAAGATGGTGCACAAGCACAGCAGATTAACAAAAAGAAAACAAGTGAAAGCTTGCTTAAGAGAGCCATGTGGAGTATTTTGAAAGTGAAAACAGAGGAGGAGATATGAGAGTTGGGCAAATGGAATCAATGGAACAGAGTAGATATGATGGAATTTGGTTGGGTGTGACTTGCTTATATATAGCTATTTATGAGAGAGAGAGATTGATTGATTGATTGATTGAGATTTTGATTGCATTTTGCAAGTGTGTTAAATTAGGATGGCTTGCGGATGTTGGGGAATGATTATTCAGTATTTTTAGAGTATGAATATATGGTGTTTTATAAAATTTTGATTAGTAGAAAGAAGTAAGAATTCATAATTTATGTTAGGAATGAGAAAAAACATAGAAACTAAGAAATTGATAATTAACTTAGAATATAATTATGTAGTGTTCCGAAATTATTAAATAATTTTTCAATGTTGGGGTACCTATGAATAGCCGCCGGCCCATATTTCTAGGAACTTTGTGGGTCTATTAGACTCCATCATATGGACTTCAACTTTGCTCAAAAGGTTCTTCCGCCAATTATGAACCAAATAAATAAATAAATTTATGAAAAATCAATACTATAATTTTAGTACTTTAAAATAAAAAATTTATAAAAATAGCATAAATTTTTTTAAAAAAATTATATTTTTATTGATTAATAAAAGAAAAATAATAAAATAAATAATACATTATCATTATTAATTCCTTTGTTTATAAATAATTATTACAAAATTAATAAAAATAAATAATATCTTATCATATAATTTAGTAATATAAAAAAAACAAATGATATATAACAATCTACTATGTTATAAAATTATGAGTTAATTATTTAAAAGTCTTATTTACAAATGTTATGGTAACTCAAATCATATTTAAGATTTTTTGATATAAAATAATATATATATATATATATATAGTAATCCTGTAATTGTCATGTGCTCTGATGACATAAATCACCAAAATAATTCAATGATATATTTGTATCATTCTGATCAAGTATTTTGTATAAAAATTCTATAAAAATAGACACATCCTTGTTCAAATTGAGCTCAGGAGAGGCACCTATTATCTACTGTCACACTAAAGTTGTGAGATCATGAATTTTTTTAGTAGTAATTTACCTACATTTCGATAGTGACGTGTATGGACAAGCAGGCCAGATTCATTGCAACGGCAACACTGATTTGTTCCACAAGGTGTGCTAAACAAACATATTCTGAAACCACATAATTTTATTTTAATTTTAAATATTGATCGTTCACAAAACTGGAAATAGCACATTTTTATTTTACTATCTTCTATATTTCATTTTGTGAGTCTCATTTTAGACCTACAATTATGATTCAAATCGTTCACATCATAAACCTTGTAATGAAAATTATCTATATAAAAAATCAGTTTCATTGAATATCAATGAATAGTTAAACAAATTGTATTTTATTTTATAAAATAGACGGTTTAAGTTTAAACTAATAGTTGCCGTCCAAACTTGGAAAAAAGAAAAAAAAAAAACAAAAGGTAACTTTTTTATGTGTCTAATGATATTTTCTGAAACTAATTTTTTTTGTACAACTCATCTTTACTGTTGAATTTACAAGATGAACGATTCAAATCATTTTTGTTATCTTGAGATGAGACACAAATAGAGAGGTATAGTACATGGTAATGCTATGGTTTTCCCACATGATAATTACGATTGGACCCGTTAGTTCTCCATTTCTATTTTTTACAATGACGAGATGGTATTTTGTGTAACAAATATACACTATGATGTACTCAGGTACATAAGACAGAAAGTCCTACAATGTCTATGACTAGACAAGGTTGTAATTTGTCTTTGACTCAAGTTTAATACAATTAGAGATCATATTGAACTCCTTAAAATAACTAATTCCATGAATAGGTAACCAACTACGTTATAGAGAGTCTGCTCAACTCTTCCATTCTATACGTATGGCCACATATATTGTCTATAACCGATTTTGTGCCCATAAAATTATTCCAACTCTTTATATGCTCAAAAGATCCAAGAAGAAACGACAACAAAAGCAAGACAAAAGGTAAGTCAACTATTAAAATAAAAAAATAAAATTGATGACATGCGAAGTGATTGCTAAAATAAGAGCATTTATATTTAAGAATAAAAATTAGACTCAATTTTCAAGTTGAGTGATGTGACAATCAATTAGAATATTAAAAATAATACTATCTATCATATATTCTGTAATCATCAACCAATCATATCACCTACACATCATCGAGTCTAGAAAGTGAATTTGCGTATCATTTTTCCTAAAAATAATCACCTAACTAGATGAAAATAACATTGCTTACAGAGATAGTTGACATTTTTATTTTTTATTAGTGAAATTATAAGTGAGTTCTAAAACTAGCAAAATCTCACCAAGTGTTGTATAGAAAACAACTTTAGGACTGTTCATTTTTTTTCTTGAGTAAATTATACTCACCTCTCTTGAAATTTAAAAATATATATAGTTAATCCTTTACTTGTGACATAATTACACTGATCACTCTCAATATTTTAATTTTTATAGCACTAAAGTCCTTTTTCATCAGTACCTCGTTAGTCGTATAAATGAAAAAATAATGTTATAATCTTTTTTTATACTAAAATGTATATTTATCTTTAGAAAAATGCCTTAGACCCCCAGTTGGGGGTGCTGGGGTCTTCTCCTATTGGCCCAAAAAATTGTTTTTTTTTTTTTTTTTTTGATTTTCGGCCATTACCAGCCCCTCACGTGGAGGTGGGGGTGCTGGGGGTCTCTCCTGCTGGGGGTCTCCAGCAGGACCGTTATCTTTATATATTTCAGGATCTACCAATTATTGGCACTAATTTTGGTCACTGTCATCATAATAAAAGGGAGGTCAGTATAATAATGTCAAAAGTATGAAACTAACTGTATTTTCTTTAAATCTCGAGGAAATGAGTGTAATTTACCCTTTGTTTTCTTTTATGGGGAATTGTAGTTGTGTATAAAAACATAAAAATAAAGTATCTAACGAGGACTGCAAAACTAATGTTTGCAATCAAGGTTGACTTCATATAATAACAAAATTTTGGCTCTTGGGAATCTTTTGTTTGGGAAAGACTGACTATAATACATCCTTCAAAAGTTCATACTATACATTTCAACTTTTAGCAGTTGGATATAAAAAATGAATTTGAACTGTCGATTGTAGTCAATTTAACTTATAATCAAAATCACCATTTTACCTCGTAACCAACAACACCACTTTGCTTCCTAACCAAGACAAACTCACTTTGATTTAACCTTTACTTTAAGTCCTAACCATTAACACTTTGATTCATAAATAAGCCCACTTTGGGATCTAATTGTTCTTCTTATACACTTTTAATGCCGAGTCTAACCCAACTAGCCAAAATCTCTTCACTTCACTAAGAGGTCGATGGTCTTATCACAGGTAAGATCCTATGACCCAATCTACAATCTCCCATGTTCAAAAAAAAAAAAAAAAATACCAACTTTTAAAGAATGTATACCATACAATTTGGCTTTAGTCAGAGCTGATCCCTAGAATGGATTAATCAACAGGACACATAAAACCAAATTCCAGTTGACTGAGTAGAAAGTACAATGTACCTGTTAATCCAATTGTTTTTAGCCGGCCTGTATAAGTCGTGCCGTCTAGGAACCCTCCATAGCCTCAACCAAATCACAAATAAAATTGCCAATTTCCAACTTGATTTATCTGCTTTTAACAAAAAAAAAAAAAAAAAAAAAAAAAAAAAAAAAAAGCAAAAACTTTACATATTGTTAAAATGAAACAAGGCCTACTGAAATTGGAATGTAGTCTAGTATCTTGTTGCTCATCACTACCAAAGTACTTCGAAAAACAGAGTATAAGGAAGGAACACACATTGCCATAAAAAGATATAATCAACCAATTCCATATACACCAACGAAAATCTGGAGGTTTTTTTTTAAGATGTAAATTTGGGTTTGTACAATATAAAATTTGCAAGCCATCAAGTTTCAATTTTTCAGATTGTGTTGCTATCTGTTTTATTTCTAATATAGAATAATCTCTATTCCAAAGCTTTACTAGTTAAAGATAATTAACTCGTTGCCTCACAAATCGAGATACATTTAACACTATAAGGTTATACATGACTTGCCAAGGCAGGGTTGAAGCTGCACGTGGAATGGCCATGGCTTCCCTCATCTATCTACCTTTCTCCAGCTACACAATGAGGACACTGTTTCTATCATTTTCTCATAGCAAAGATAACCAAAATTCACACCAGTGCCCATACAAGATGGATGGTAAACAAATGCAAAACAGTAAACAGATAACTCCTTTCCATTAAAACCAACACAGCTTCTAAAAGAATTTGAATTTTCGAAACTGAAATTTTTAGGTTTATCACTAAGGTGCCAATCACTATGTTGGTCCCCTTAGGGAAAGGCTGCATGTTTCAAGTTAAATTTATTAGGAAGCATCTAATAATGAAAGGAAATTATGATATATAACTAATTATTTTAAAACTGTAACTAAGAATCTAAGAATAATAATGTAATATCAACATTTGATAAATGCAACATTAAGATTTCAAATTTTTCATGACTTAATACATACAATGCAAGAGGGTCCAAACACAACTTAACACAAGGTTAGCACAGCTATTATGCAAATGATTCCATAGACAAATAAAACTAATTTGAAGTGAGATTGCACCCCAAAAGAGCTCTACTTGTGCAGCATACTCTGTTAAGAGAAATGCAAATAGCATAGCAACCATTTAATGGGCATAAGGCATTATTTAGTACATGGTAACACACACCCTTGCTCATCTCTAGGTCCTGATATGATTGATGCCATGGCAGGAGCTGAAACATGTGGATTGGCTTCAACAGGAGTTTCGGACGTTACCTAGTTAATATGTTAATACTAGACCGCCTAAGATCATCACCATTGTTAACACAAACCACCTTATGTAGATGGCATTCCTTTGTCATCTTAATAGCTTCTTCCTTGCACCATTGCATTTCTTCATTATCTTCATCAAGAGGATTAGAAAGCTCTAGTCTTGGTTTTTACCCCTCTGCCAGTTAAATTAAACTCTGCAAAAAATATCATTAAATTTCTGAGTCTTTTCATGAAATCTCAAGTCACATTGGCGGCTAGAGTGTACACCTCCACTAATTGTAAGAATTCAGACCCAAACCCTTTTCATTGAATATCCTATGAGAAATCTTTTTTGATTGTGGACCAACACTGACTCTAAGAATTCAGATTGCAACTGGGGGTTCTTACTTCATGAGAGGGAGGGAGGGCTAAGTATCAAAAAGGGGAGCTCAAACTGGCTGATGAGGTGGTTGAATAGCAAGCAAAACACTGTAAAAAAGATAACCGAATGTGGTTACAGGACAATTACAGCCCATATGATTAACTAAAATCTTACCGAACTAAGAAAAGATGCCAATGAAAGTGCATGTATGTTGTGCTATGTACAAACCTCGAATCTCGATGCATTTATTCAAGCTGAAAGTGGATGGATTCCATATTTCTAATGACTATTGGTTTCCAGGTTCTGACTGTACCTTTTGCAGCTGAGCCAAACTTGAGTAGAAGCAGATCATAATATACTGCTAATGTTAGAAGCAAAACATTCTAGAAACGACACTCGTTTGCTATTCTTCCACAAAAAAGTAAGTGGCAAGTAAATCAAAAAGCAACAAGAACCCCATGATGTGCACAATATACTGCTAATGTTAGAAGCAAAACATTCTAGAAATGACACTCTAGTTTGCTATCCTTCCACCAAAAAGTAAGTGGCAAGTAAATCAAAAACCAACAAGAACCCCATGATGTGCACAAACACAATACATAAGATATGGATGTGATTTCGAACGAAGAATTTTTCCTATTCAGTTTTAGAGACATTATTATATTTGTTGTTTTTTTGAAACAAATGAATTTCCTATCACTGTAGGGTTACACTAGCGTTATAAATAGAGATATGAATCTACTTAATTTGACTAATGAAATGACCTTTGATAGGGCCGCGTGGAGAAGAAGGATTCATGTAGCCGACCCCATTTGATGGGACTTAAGGCTTCGTTTGGTTTGGTTTGGTTATTATATTTGTTGTTTTTTAGCAAAATGTAGCCATGTTTGATCATGTCTTTTGAGTGTAACCAATGTGACCTGCATATAAATCTGGCAAAGACATTATTTGAAAAGAACAATGCTATACAAGCTGACTTTCGACTTAACACCAAATCACGAGGGAGTGAATGATTAAGCTTTGGTGGAAACCCAATCAAAGTAGCTGCCATTCAGAAGATTCTACGTCTGTCAGTGTTAGACTGACTTTCAGTCTGTCATTTTCCTTTTGCAAATACCAGACAGAGGTAGATTGTGGGATACATCTTTCTAGCCTAAATGTGTTAAAAGTCTACTCCATTATGGACACTAAGATTTGGCTCCTCCCATGAAGCATCTGTGCCACTAAAATGAACCCAAAAGACATAACTGTAGAAACTCTACGAGACCATACTATCAAAATCTGTACCACTGTCATGTGCTAAACTTAAAATCTCTCATAAAAAATTAAAAATACACAAAATCATACTAAGGAGGCATGTCTTGTATAAAAAGGCAAAAGCGAATGTGAGGAAAGAATTACCAACATGTTTTTGTAATTTGTAAAAGTTCAGACATTATATTGCAAATTCTTCTTATTGGTTCAACTCTGCAACCTTAGCTTAGCAGGTGTTTCACAATTAAATTCCATGCAAGAATGTGATGGTGAAAATTATTTCATCACTACAAACATCATGTTTTAGAGTCATGCTGTCCCCAAAGGTATGGCAGACTGGGATTTTACCCCGTTTTAACACCTACTCTGCTTAACATACAAGCTGAATGGAAAATGGATAGGCACGAAGAGATATATCTAGGCGCATGATGATGAAAATTAAGACTGTCAGTCACTCCAAGAGAAATAATCAACAATACAAAATTGGAAGATCATCAGTTATGGCATTTGCAATGTTTCAACAAGGTCAGAGGCATTTAAAAGCTTATTGTTCTTGCACACCATGTGAACCACCATTCTCCATGTATCTACATCAATTAAATTTCCTTTTGCCAAACTATTTAGAACTGTCCATAACAGCTTTAGATTACCACTTTGACACAACTCATCAACAAATTTCATCATACTTGCAGTACGTGGGGCATAACCTTTGAAAACCATCTCATCCAAAATGAATGCAGCTTCCTTGAAATGCATCCCATCACAAAGCCCATCAAATAGTGTCCGATATGTTATCACATCGGAAGCACACTTCCGTCTAGGCATATCTTCAAATAATTCATTTGCTTCTCTCAATTTTCCGTCCCTACAAAGCCCACCAATAATTACATTATAACTAGTAACATCTGGCTTGCACCCCTTCACTTCCATCTCACTTAAAACACCAAATGCTGCGTCAAAATCCTTCTCCTGACAAAACCCGTAGATCATTGCATTATAAGTTACTGCATCAGGCTTGCACCCATTTTCTCTCATTTCCTCCAAAACTCCAATAACATCTTCCTTGCGACCGACCTTGAAAAGAGCACTAATTAAGGTGGAGTACACCCGCGAACCCAATTCGATTTTACATTTCAACATCTCATCCTTAAGCTTAAAAGCCAAACTCAATTCATTTGCCTTACAAAGCCCTTTAATCAATGAAGCATAAACAAAAGCATTAGGCTTTAATCTAAAACCTCTCACCATAGCCTCTTTCAACCTAAAAGCTTCATCTAACTTACAATTCGCACAAAGTCCACTAATCAAGGTTCCAAACGTCACTGCATTTGGCCAAATCCGTCTCTTTTGCATTTCATCGAACACATTCCAAGCACTATCCAAATCGTCGCACAAACAACAAGCATTGATCAATATATTATAAGTACACACATCCGGAACCGCATATTGATCAATACCCACAAAAAATTCCCTCATTTTCTCGAATTCCTGACAAGATAACAGAGCATTCAAGAGGGAATTCAAAGATTTTATGGTCCTTTGGCATCGAAAAGACGGTATTTGATCAAATGTTTTGAGAGCTCGGTCGGCCAAGCGAGCACGGCCGTAAAAGGCGATGATGTTACAGAAGATGATTTCTTTGGGGACGAAGCGAGTCTCGTTCTTCAATTGTTCTATGATTTGTTCCATTTCGTCGAACATTTTGGCTCGGCCGAGCTTGGTGATGACGAGATCGTATGAGAGGAGAGAGTAACGGAAGGGTTTAGGGCTACGGTTAGGGTTTAGGAAGAGTTGGAGAGCGAGGTTGGGGTCCTTTTGGAGGCGGAGGAGAGAAGTGAGTCTGAAAGGTGAGACCTTCTCTAGTTTAGCCATTTTTGGTCTCCAACGGTTTACCGTGTGATTTAAATTTCAGTTGCCAAATGATATAACTGATATTACAAATCACGGGTTTACCGCCCGAAGGTGGAAACAACAATTTTAGTTTGGATTCTTAGAGCATCCCCCATCTGCTTCAATAAATTTTGAGTTAAATTATGATTTAAAATTCACTTTTTATATTTTAGTTAGTCTCACTTTTATATATACACTCAATCAAATTTTTTATTCTAAAATTCTATTTCATTAAAATATTATGAACGAGCAAGTATAAACAAAGTTCAAGACAGCGACAGATCAACACCAAAGCAACAATAGAGCAGCAGCAATGTAACGTCCCAACTTCTGGGCTGTTAATAAATCAATTCAACTTTAAATTTAAAATTCTAACTAATTAATAACTTCAAAAATACAAGTTGGCTCCAAAATAATTACACAAATGTCTATAATTTATAACTTATACAAATCTCCAAAAATAATAAATAGTGGTGGATCCAAAAATCTCCAACTCAATAATTCTTTAAACACTTCAACTCCAATCGCCACTAGATTTGCTCCACATCTGAAAAATAAATTAATTCGGTAAGTATACAATACAACAGGAATAACAAGGCTCGGATAGAGAATAAATCAATAGGGATCCAACAATTACACAACCGATTAGATTCGATAATCAACCAATTTACCCGAATTTCACAAACAAGTCAACTCGACAGATGATAATTTATCCAGGACCAAATACCCAGTCCTACTCGGTACATGACCAGTGATCAACCTCACCCACCTCACCCAAGCACAACCGCTTATTCAGGCTATTAGTCCAAGCTATTGGCAAAGTCTACTCGATCCATGTACGAAGCATTTCCACGTCATTTAGCCAAACAAATCAACACTGACTATACAGAACAACTTCATAGAATTTATCAAATGACTAGAGTACTCAAACGTGTCAACATAATGATTTCACAAGATTTATCAAATGATCACAATAATTAAGAGGATTACAAATTGGAAGTCATTAAAATAAACTCTTTGCAAAGAGATTTAAAGGAATCATATTGTATACCACCCGAATTACCTCAAATCAATCTCCTCTGTTGCCAACACTCGAATCTCGATATTTCTCCATAGATCTCCAAATTCTAAGCCATAAGGTATGTAAGGTTTCATAAAATCTACAACTCTTCTCCTTTATGAAAATGCTTACTTTGACTTTAAACATTCTTAATTTAAACTCTAAATTTATATAACAAATGGAGAGAGATATGAGAAGAACCATAGAAAGAAGTTGAGAGGTGAGCTCAATTTATAGGTAAGGATATTTGGAACAAAAGAAAAGGAAAAATAATAAAATAAAGTTTACTTGGTGGGCAAGAAAGGGGTATACTTGGAGAAAAAAAAAAGAAACTTCCTTGGAAACAAAGTAACTTGGAGAGAAAGGAAATTGAAAAAAATAAAAATAAATAAAAGACATGAATAATGATAATAATGAAATGGAGGTAAAAAGATATAAAACAAATAGAGAAAATGAGTTAGGTTCTCATCTAAAAATTTTATCACCAAACAATCACCAATATCTCTCATTAAAATATTAATACCTCAAAAATATGGAGTTTCACAATCTATCTCCCTAAAACGAATTTTGTCCTCGAAATTCACAAGCTCTAATACTCCAAAATTTAATAACTACAAACTCATCAAATAACACGCTTTCGCTACGCACTCTAATATAAACAACAATTTTATTTTATTTTATTTTTTTTACCTCTAATATCAATTTTTTTTTTTCCAAAAATTGAACCCAAATATTAATCACTCAACAGATCTCGTGTAAGACCTAATCCCTACGCTCTAATACCATTCTGTGCCCCAACTTCTGAGCCGTTAATAAATCAATTCAAACTCAAATTTAAAATTGTAACTAATTAATAACCTCAAAAATATAAATTGGCACCAAAATAATTACACAAATGTCTATAATTTATAACTTATACAAATCTCAAAAAATAATATATGGTGGTGGACTCAAAAATCTCTAACTCAATAATTCTTTAAATACTTCAACTTCAATCGCCACTAGATTTGCTCCACACCTGAAAAATAAATTGATTCGGGAAGTATACAATACAACAGGAATAACAAGGCTCGGACAGAGAATAAATCAACAGGGATCCAACAATTACACAGTCGATTAGATTCGATAATCAAGCAATTTACCCAAATTGCACAAACAAGTCAACTCGACAGATGATAATTTATCCAGGATCAAATACCCAGTCATACTCGGTACATGACCAGTGACCGGCCTCACCCACCTCACCCAAGCATAACCGCTTATCCGGGCTATTGGTCCAAGCTATTGGTAAGGTCCACTCGATCCATGTACAGAGCATTTCCACGTCATTTAGCCAAACAAATCAACACTGACTACACAGAACAATTTCGTAGAATTTATCAAATAACCAGAGCACTCAAACGTGTTAACATAATGATTTCATAAGATTTATCAAATGATCACAATAATCAAGAGGATTACAAATTGGAAGTCATTAAAATAAACTCTTTGCAAAGAGATTTAAAGGAATCATATTGTATACCACCTGAATTACCTCAAATCAATCTCCTCCATCACCAACACTCGAATCTCGATGTTTCTCCATGGATCTCCAAATTCTAAGCCATAAGGTATGTAAGGTTTCCCAAAATTTACAATTCTCCTCCTTTATGAAAATGCTTACTCTCACTTTAAATATTCTTAATCTAAACTCTAAATTTATATAACAAATGGAGAGAGATATAGGAAGAACCATAGAAAGAAATTGAGAGGTGAGCTCAATTTATAGACAAGGACACTTGGGACAAAAGAAAAGGAAAAATAATAAAATAAAGTTTACTTGGTGGGCAAGAAAGAGGTGTACTTGGGGAAAAAGAAAAGAAACTTCCTTAGACACAAAGTAACATGGAGAGAAAGAAAACTAAAATAAATAAATAAATAAATAAATAAAAGACATGAATAATGATAATGAAATGGAGGTAAAAAGAGATAAACAAATAGAGAAAATGAGTTAGGTTTTCATCTAAAAATTTTACCACCAAACAATCATCAATATCTCTCATTAAAATATTAATACCTAAAAAATACAGGGTTTCACAAGTAATACAGGAGGGCCGAACCCACTGAGGGGCGGTCGACCGGTCAGGCAAAATTTGAACATTTTTCTTCTTTGTTACAAGACATTCACGGGACATCCGGGAGAACATCCGGGAGATATCCGGGTGGATGACCGGCCATGACATTTTAGCCCAGTTTTGCTCTAGAAAATATAATAAAAACTAGATTACCGTGTGAACAGTGCCTCAACAAATCAGGTGAGACATTGTAACAAAGTCAAAATGAATGAAAGCTATGGAGAGTCTGACGGAATTGATATTTACAGCCTTTGCTCTCTACAATAGCTTCAAAGCCATTGTAAAGAGGCTGATGCGGATGCTCTTAGGATTCAATTTTTTTAAAAGTTAAGCTGTGTTTGGTTATGTGTTCCAAATACATTTTCACACATTGATTTGAGTGTGGTGTTTGTTTTGAACTTTCAAATATTTTACTTTTTAGATATATTTAAGTAAGGTACATTTAAAAACGTAAAAAAAAATTACTTAAAATTTTAAAATATTCACTAAACATAAAAGCAAAAAAAAAAAAAAAAAAATTCAATTTTAAAAAAATTGAATCTAGACAATTGAAACCAAACACATTGATGGATAGAGTTAGGTACACAATGCATAGAAAAATACCCGATCCATCCGCTATCCAACTCTCCCCATTCTAATAGGATAGGTTTTGGGTGGTTGAATAAGATAACAAAAAACTTTTAAATAACTTGATCGGGTTCAAATCAAGTAGAAAATAGTATTTTTTAAATGTATCTTATCTGATCCATAGATATAATAACAAATAAATAAGGATAAATTGCATTGACACCCCTTGAGATTTATGTTTATTACAGTTCCCCCCTCACCTTTTGAAAATTACATCCCCCTCCGTGAGGTTTAAAGTTTCATTACAGATTGCCTCCTGAGGTTTAAAGTTTCATAACAGTTCCCCCCCTCACTGTAATGATCATCATACATAAAATTAAATTAACAGGGGGGTCAGTGTAATTTCCTAAGTATGAGGGGGGGAACTGTAATAAACATAAATCTCAGGGGGTGTCAGTGTAATTTACCCAATAAATAATAATATTACTGGTAAATCCCAAATTAGGGAATAATAATCCATTTAGTCTTGTGTTTTTTCTTATGAACCATTTAGTCCTATTTAATTAGTAAGGAATATTTTCCTATTTTGGTGGATTTTTTTTTACTCATTTGTGTGTATGATTGAGAGGGTAATGTTTTATATTTTCATTTTTATATGTTTGATTTTTGTAGAGTGATAAACAGTGGATGAGTTTCAATTGCTGATATTATTTTCTTATAACGTACGAATCAATTTTGCTTTTTCTGGGAAACATTACGACATTCCACATCACACACTAAGCATATTAAGACGTGTCCAACATAGATCACAAACATTACAAAATGAAATGCCATACTACAAAGACAGTACACAACATATTTCCACATTGAACATATTGGTACGACACATGGGAAACATAACCATGTATCCGCCGATCTCACTCTAAAATCAACATGCACAACCAATGTCGAGACACAAAACCCCATTGCTTGCATTGGATGGATGATGTTAACAACACCCACATGTATAAATTACCACAACAACAGAATGCATGTCCTATGACCAAACAGGGCATTATTCCGACTATAAACACACACAACAATGTCAACATATCCCTTCTACCATAAACTAATAGATAACTTTGACTATTAACATTCAATACACAAAACCATAACATTAAAACCATGTGAACATCACCTTTAATCATACACATTTGATGTGCGTGATTTTTCATATATCAAAATGACAATGTTAAATTTACCCCAAATCTCACATTGCACATACATAAACTAATAAGGCATGCAATGACGACTCAAATTACAAAACCAAAATCGAATACAAATAAAGGGTAACAAATTGCAGCACACATCA